TATTTTCAAGACTTGATATCTCGTAAACTGTTCAAAACGTGGAAAAATTGTATTCTTTCTTCTCGATTTATTATTAAAAAATCTATGAAAATATGCTAAGAAAAAGGAAAAAAAATTTTTTTTTCATAAATCTTCGATGATATATCGAAGATTTTAATTTTTCATTTCATTCTCTTTCGTCGATATCTACAAGAATCCGCCTTCCAATCGTGGCGCCGTACGAATCGTAATCTCCCCTTTTTTCCAGGTCTATTTTTTCCAAGTCTATTTTTTCCGGGTCAATTTTTCTGGGTCTATTTTTTCCAGTCTATTTTTTCCGAGTCTATTTTTTCCGGGTCTATTTTTTCCAGGTCTATTTTTTCCGGTCTATTTTTTCCGAGTCTATTTTTTCCCGTCTATTTTTTCCCGTCTATTTTTTCCGGAATTCAGTTGCATCTGTTTAGATCTGATCAGATATGACTAGATCTGATCATGTCTAATGTATTTATCAACTCAGATATAGTTATATCTGTTTAAATCTGATCAGATATGACTAGATCTGATTATGTCTCCAATTCTATATCTGATCAGATCTAAACCTTTTTCTCCGTGTAGTAGACATTATTTACAAAAATTGACTACCGCATACAGAAAAAAAAACGGATTGTTGAAATGATAATTTCAAATAAAAATTTTCCTTTATTTCACCAGGGATAGCGGTAATAGTCTCCTCAACAAGTGGGCATGGTTTTGATGCTCATCTACGTGGACCAAGCTTTCTAATTGAACCACCATCAAGAATTGAATTCTCAAATTCAAGCGGAGCTTGGCTAGATTGCGCAGCAACTGGGAGTCCAGCACCGAATATTGACTGGTCCACTGCAGATGGACTTCCAGCTGGAGACGTACTTGGTGTTCGGCGAGTACTTAGAAATGGAACTCTTGTACTTCTTCCGTTTCAAGCAGCAGCATTCAGACAAGACGTCCATAGTGCAGCTTACAGATGTATAGCTAGTAACTCAGTTGGTCGAATACTCAGTCGCGATGTACAAGTTAGAGCAAGTAAGAGAATTTATGGTAACTTTTAAACTTAAAAAAGACTGCTTAGAATCTTCATTCAAAAAGTCCAAAAATTTTTCTAGCAGAAACTATAAAAATTCCTTAACAAATTTTTACAGCAGTTTACATAATTTAAAACAATCGATAGTAAGCATTTGCAATAAAATGACTATCAACTAAAGTAGAATTCTGTGTAATGATTCGAGGATAGAGACAGTCACGTTTCCAAACTATGAATGTGAAACAATGAATGTTAATATAGGTATTAGCAATGAAAAAAAAAATTAGGAAAAAGGTTGACCCTGAAGGCCGCCCCTGCAACTTCCCGCTAATTCTATACCTAGGCGCTTAAAATTGCACTTATGATGTTTTTGAGCTCTTCGAGCTCAAAAATACAATTTATGTGTTATTTTAAGCTCTCTGAGCTCAAAGAGATAGCTTGCCTATGCTTTTGAGCTCTTCGAGCTCAAAAGTCTGATAGAAGTTTCATAGAACACTTTTTTGAATTTTCAAATCGCAATAACTTTTGAATGAATCAACCGATTTTCACACGATTGGCAGCATTCGACGCAGTTTTTTCAGTCTCATGAAAAAACGTTAAGTTTTAATTGATCAAACTCGGAATTTCGGAGTAATTCCAAAAAAACACTTTTTTCGGGTTTCACGATGTCTCTCGAACGAATTAACCGATTTTGACCAACTTGGTGGCGACCAACGTGGTTTTTTTATGTTAAGAGCTGATTAGTTTTTGAAATCAATCGGTAGAGCCGTTTAAAAGTAATTCCGAAAAAACCTTATTTGAAAAAATTTTTGTTCGTGGTTTTTTCGAGATGTCTTAAAATCTACCTGTCTGAATCAGTTCAAACTGTATTCAAAATCTAAGTTTGGCCAAGTCTTTTCGAATGGCGCCCACTACGATGTAATCGATTAAGCCGTTCAAAAAATATAAGCAGTTCACATATTTTCACACACACACACACACACACACACACACACACACACACACACACACACACACACACACACACACACACACACACACACACACACACACACACACACACACACACACACACACACACACACACACACACACACACACACACACACACACACACACACCCCC